ATTATTTTGTGGATTCTAAAATTTCAAGTAAAGTACAAGTTATCTAATACGGCAACTGAATCATTCATGCAATTTATCTGATATCTCTTAATTTTTCATAATGAAAATATATACTCCTCCTTTTCTTCAATATTGAATATAGCACGTAAAAATCTTGGCGTCTGTGTCTACATGATTAAATATACAACATGTGAACAATGTTGCAAACTATATAATATAGCTGATGTATCAACTGAAAAAGCAAATATGGCTTCTAAAGTTACCCAATACACTTTTCAAAAATTTCTGAATCACCCAATGACCAATTTTAGACACCTTTGCAATTATTATATTACAAAAAAAATACCTGTAACTAAAGGAATCATATATAGATCATTATTAATCTACCCAATAGTTTTTTTAAAATATCAATTTTAATTGTTGTTCAACTGGAAGAGATTCGAAGCATCATGTAGAAAATAGGCAGAAAGGATTGATAATCCAAACTGACTTTCTGACATATATGATAATAGAATTTGAAAAACTTTTTAAGATCCTCAAGAAAATCTATCTTACTTCTAAAAAAAGCTATCAGATAGTAATTTGGGTCTGATGATTAATCTTGATTGGTTTCAACCTTATGATAGCTTGTTAACTGTTCTTTACTTTTTTTTTTTTCCTTTGAGACGAATAGTTGCTAGCGTGGTGTCTGGCTCTAGACTTGAAAGAGAAAGAAAAGAACCAAATAAAAAAAAAAATAAAAATAAAAAAAAAAACAAATAAAAAAAAAAAAAAAACTGCAAATAAGAAAAAAAGGAAGAACCAAATAAGAAAAAAAATTAAGGTAATATTAATTAACATAATATGATTTATTTAATACTGATAAAATAAGCTAGTCTCATCCATATTATAAATATCTTTTAGATTATATTCTTTTAAAATTTTTCTTAACCGAGGAATAGCAGCATTAATAATATCGTTATCTACAGAAGCATCTTCTTCATGTTTTTTTATTTGTCTTAAACCGTGTCTTTTTTTGAACTTGTATAACCAACTATACAAAAACTTTAAATCACCTTCAGGTATATTCATCAATCCTGTGAACTGTTTTGCCTTTTCTATTATAATGTGTTTTCTGCCTTTTTGTAGGGGGATTGTCTTCAATTGCTTCTTTATTTTTAATTAAATGGCTAATAGTGCTTTGATAGACGTCAAGACTCATTGTTTGTTTTATCTAATCGACGAGGTTAGCTTGACTAAGTTGAGAGTTGTTTTCTTTATGCATGATGACAGCCTTTTTCTGTTTATTAGTGAAAGTTGGTTTACTTTTTTTATGCTTTGTAGAAGACATTTTGATTAATATAATATGGATAATTTCAAAGCAAAGTTTATTTAATTTATAGATAAAAGGCAATCCTCTCTTTCAATAAATAAATTATAAGGTTTAATAAGTCAAGTAAGTGTATTTTTCTTGGTTTTTATAATCTAACAGACTATTCATTCAATTCTTTTAGAACAATCTAATTTAACATTTTACAACAATACTATGTAGGCTATTGTGTTATTATGTGATATGTAAAGACAAAAGAGCTTTGTAATTTACATATAATTTATTTTATTTTACTAAAATCATATGAATGAGTGTATAGCCAAATCATGCTTAGAGTATATGTATTGCATATATTCTAAGTATAGGTTTCTATGTTCTCACCCATATGCAATTTGAATAATAATGTTCATATCAAGTGCTAATTTGTACCCATCGTTTATCTTAAAAATTGTAGCTTAAATTAGAAAAACTGCGTTATTTATACAACTTATATATGAGAACTAACTAACTTGGGTTGAAATTCTTATAATGAACAACTATAATATAGCAATTAGTATAGAAAAATTATTCGATCAATTATTCTAACACCAGATTTTAGAAGAGAAGATGGGTATACATCACTTGCTTATTTCAAATACAATGTAAATCTTTTTTTATTAAATATTAATCAAGTTTTAATATTCTTAGAATAACAAAGAAAACTTGATCTGTGACTAAATATACGATATGATATGAGTACTCGAAAGAAAAAATCAGTAAGTAAAAATTTATTCCCTGAGGAAATAAATTTTATCTACTGATTTTCTCTTTCGAGTACTCATATGTAGATGTATAAGTATAAATGCACATAATACGTACATATATATCTCTATTGTTTTCAATTCAGGAACCTGAATTTTATTGATGGATTTGAAATTTGCATAAATAAAATTCAAAATTTTCCGAGTTCCTGCTTCAATTCAATATTACATGCATCTTTTTAGTTCTGTGGTCAGGCTTTTTTAGGTTATCACATCTACTTTACATCTTATTTGTATTATATGGCACTGTATTATGATTTAGGTTTGATAATTGGCTTTTTTTAGACAATTTAGACTATTAAGAGTTACGATTTTCATTTTATTGGTTTTAAATTTTCATTTTTATACTCTGAGAATCAAAATCCAAATCGATTATATCAGCCCTAGAATTTAATTTAGACTTTAAATAAGAATTGACCCTAAATACGTAAACTGCTGATTCGTATATCCTCTATAAGTTGTGCTTGGGGTATTTTGTGAATAAAAATTTGATTTATATCCGGAGGCTATTCACATTATATCTCGAAGAATAGCATCTTTATACTTTGAAAAATATCTGGCTAGCATGAAACATGCATATCTGGAATGTGTGTCAGGTTTGTAGCACAGCAAAATTTCTTTAAAATTTGTTAATTTTAGGGTTAGCATTTAAAATAAAGTTAAAAATTGGATGGATATATAGCAAAATCACTTAAGAAAAACTTTTTGTTAGAGCACTAAAGCCGGTTTCTTATACAGATTCTCAAGAAATAGGCGATTTTTGACAAAGCAAATATTTGTTTTGAATTTTTCAGATTGTATTATATTATACCAGATCTTGAAATCTGATTCGTGGTTTAGGCAATATATGCTACAGTTGCGCCACAAACCTGATACATATTCCAGATATGCATAAAACATTGAAGTCTGACAATATTGAATAAGAAATATATAGTGGGTATATTTCTAGTCTTTGTAAATATCTAGATACAAAAGTCAACAGTTTACAGTACTGTTATACCTGAAACTATCTCTTATAAGTTTCAGTATAATGGTTTATTATAGTGACAGATATATTAGGCAATTGATAATCAAATTTCGATTTATGCTAAGTAAAGTATAGGGTTATTTGCAGTTATGCTTTTAAGAGGATTATGTGATTTGCTATTACGAAAGAAGCAAATAGCTAAATGTATATAGATATACAAGTAGGTGTATAAACAAGTTTATTATTTATTCGATATGATCCTCGAGTTATACATGTATAAAGACACTATAACCAATCTACAACTTATTTAGAGCGATCTGTGTATGAAGACATGATTACTCTTTAGGGAATTGTATATATATGATTTATTCAATAAAGTATTCGAGTTGTTCGTGTATGAAGACATGACTACTCTTTATTTATTGTCAAGTTGTTGAAACTTCGAGTTCTGTCCCTTATAATAAATAAAAAAATTGCTCTCTTATTCTTGATAATATATTACCGATTTTGATTGGCTCTTGTAGATAGATGATCATGTGTTATGCATTTATAGAGAGAACCTATATAAGCAGGTCAAGAAAATAGTATGCATTTGCAGAATAAAGAATATGCATTTATTTATTAAGCCTATCAATGGGCCAGATAATTAATATGCATTTATGGAGGATATGCATTTAGGAAAGATGCATTTAAGAGGTCCGACTGTATTATTAAGTGATATAGATATTTTAAAATTTTTTAAAACTTTGATCTAAGATATTTTGGCAACCACTTGACCAAAATCAATAAATTTTTTTATTTGAATTTTACAGATCTGTAGAATTCAAATAAAAAAAAGTTTATTGATTTTGGTCAAGTAGTTGTTGAGATATTTTTGATCAAAGTTTTGGTATA